TGAGCCGAAGGCAGTCGCTTAACCGACTGAGCCACCCAGGCACCCAATAAAATCTTTTTTTAAAAAAAGAAATGACTATTTAATAAATATACATAGTGAATGGATTTTTAAAAAGCTGTTTCATGTTTGATCATGGTAGTAAGAAGTAACAACATGTTTTTTTCATTTTGCAAATAAAGTTGTGTATCACAGAAGCTAAGTGCCCTGCACAAGAACAGAAAATTCCCATGTGTGAATTCAAATGGAAATTCAATCCTCTAATCCCAAATATAGATTTATTCCTCTAGTTTTATTTAATGACAAGACTCCATCTTATAGCAACATCATAATGTCTTATTCTTCAGTAAATATATCCTGCCTACTCACCACTGAATACAGTGAAAAACAGTATATACCTCAGAAGTAAGAAGCATTCCTTGACCTCCGTAATTCTAATGAAAGAAGCAGTTATAATTACCTTATGTTGTAAATATTTTTGGAAACTTTCTTGAGTCTGAAACCTCAAGAATTTCTCATTTCTTAAATAACAGTTGTTAGAAACACAGACACACACAAAAACACACCTGATCAAAGAAGGAAGGTCTTGATTTTTGCGGATAAAAGTCTCCTTTACAAATGAAAAATTTAGACATGTCCTGAGTTATCACTTTAGAACTAAAACTAGAGATGTACAGTCAATTCTGATTCCTGAGAAAGATAAGACAAATGTTACTGTAATCTCATCTTGTGAAGAAACATAACACAAACCACACTACTTCCACTTTATCACAGCACAGAAAATTCTACTAAGTGGTGAAATAAATGCGAGGTGTTAACATGATTTTATGACTTAAATGATCAATACAATGATAAGAAGTTTCCCAGAGTTTTGAGAAACAATGGTGGGCTTAGATCATCTCTTTCTGAATTAAAAGTGAAAAGTTGTTCTAAAATATGGTTGTAAGTACTATGTGGGGAAAAAAAGAAGAAAATTAAGTTAACTTCATAATCATATTGTACACATGCTGTTATAAATTTGAATGGAATCAAGTATGCTGTATCATATAAGTTGGAACCATAGAAAGAGATCTTTCATATACATATACGTATATAAGTATATGCACACACATAAATGCATACAAGTATATAGACATCTATGTGTACACACATGATCTTTTAACTATAAAAATATAAAGTGCATATAAAATAAAAGTTCCATAATGAACCATCATATGCCTAGCTTCAACAATTATCAGTTTGTGGTTAATATGACTTCATTTATGATATATGCGGTGTCTCACACCCATCTCTGTGCCTATTAAATAGGGCCTTTTCTCTACTTTCCTTGTGAACATCACTCATTATATTACTCTCTATTTCTCAGAACATTAGCACCAAATCTTATGCCAGAATAGCAATATAATCAACTAATGTCTTAGTGTTCTGGTTTTCAGCTACTCACAATTGTTGTTACATTAAAAAGTGATAAAGAGGACTGCCAGACCCAAAAGGAGCCTTTGGAGAAAGGGGAACCCTCTTACACTGTTGGTGGGAATGCAAACTGGTACAGCTATTCTGAAAAACAGTATGGAGATTCTTCAGAAAGTTAAAAATAGAGCTATCCTATGACCTAGCAATTGCACTACTAAGTATTTATCCAAAGGATACAAAATAGTGATTCAAAAGGGCATCTTCACCCCAATGTTTATAGCAGCAATGTCTACAATAGCTAAACTATGGAAAGAGCCCAGATGCCCACCGACAGATGAATGGATAAAGAAGATGTAGCATATCTATACAATGGAATATTACTCAGCCATCAAAAAGAGAAGTCTTACCATTTGCAATGACATGGATGGATCTCGAGGGTTTATGCTAAGCGAAATAAGTCAACCAGAGAAAGACAATTATCATATGATCTCACTCATATGTGGAATTTAAGAAACAGGGCAGAGGATCATAGGGGAAGAGAGGAAAAAAATGAAACAAGATGAAACCAGAGAGGAAGACAAACCATAAGAGATTCTTAATCATAGGAAACAAACTGAGGGTTGCTGGAGGAGAGGTTGGTGGGGAGAAGGGGTAACTGGGTGATGGGCATTAAGGAGGGCATGTGATGTAATGAGCACTGGGTGTTATATGCAACTGATGAATCACTACACTCTACCTCTGCAACTAGTAATACATTATATGTTAATTAATTGATTTTGAATAAAATTAAAAAAAGACATAATGACTAAATGTACTATGGTATCCTGGCTGGGATAATGAAACAGAAAAAAAAATATTAAATAAAAATTAAGGAAATCTGAATAAACTATGTTCTTTATTTAATAATATATCAATATCAGTTCATTCATTATGACAAGTCTGTCATACTAATGTAAGCTATTAATACAGGAAACTGGAGATGGGGTATATGGGAACTCTCTCTATTACATTTGTAATTTTTCTGTAAATTTTATACCATTATAAAATAAAAAGTTTATTTAAAAATAAGTATTGGGTCTTCTTTAGAATGTTATAACAACAACAACAACAACAATAATAATTTTATTAGTATAATACATATGGGAGACTTTAAAGAAAACAAAAAACCACTCTGGAGGGAAACCTCTAAAAAAAATCACTCACTCATATTAACTCTCACTGAACATGAGCTCGTGAAAACAAACTTTAATCAGTAAATCTATAATCAGTCTATTCAATCAGTAAGAGATAATGATTAGTCAATAATCTTTAGCTAATAGAACAATTAAACACTGCAAAAAAATAAACACTGTAAAAATCTATGTACAATATGGATGAGATAAAAATAATATAAGCAAAAGTTGATTTTGCAAAGTTTGATAAAGCTAGAAAAAATTTTAATGAAATCAGTAGGGTATTTAAAATCTTCCCATATGGGGCCCCTCACTGATCCAGTCCAAGGCTATGGTGAACCAGGCTATCAACTGCAAGACTACAGTGGCCTGGGAGGCAGGAAAACCTCTCTCTACAGAGGAGGTAGAGGCGGCATCCCCAAAGGCTCATGAAATTCGAATTAAGATTATTGCCGCTGCAGTTTGCCACACCGATGCCTATACCCTGAGTGGGGCTGATCCTGAAGGGAGTTTTCCAGTGATCCTGGGACATGAAGGTGCTGGAACTGATCCTGGGACATGAAGGTGCTGGAATTGTGGAAAGTGCTGGGGAAGGAGTTACTAAGCTGAAGGCAAGTGATACTGTCATTCCATTTTACATGCCATGGTGTAGACAATGCAAATTTTGTCTAAACCCTAAAATAAACCTTTGCCAGAAGATAAGAGTTACTCAGGGGAAAGGATTAATGCCAGATAGTACTGGCAGATTTACTTGCAAAGGAAAGACAATTTTACATTACATGGGAACCAGCACATTTTCTGCATATACAGTTGTGCCTGATATCTCTGTTGCTAAAATTGATCCTTTAGCACCTTTGGGTAAAGTCTGCCTTCTGGGTTGTGGCATCTCAGCTGGTCCTGGTGCTGCTGTAAATACTGCCAAGGTGGAGCCTGGTTCTGATGTGGGAACCAAAGGCAGAAGAAAAATTATTAAATTTCCTTACTACCTGCAGCCCATTGACAAGTCCTTGAAACAGGCAGAGTGACATTCCTCTAGGGACTCAACTGCCTCAGTGTTAATACTTTGCTAAGAGCAAAAGGCAATCCTAGCCTGACCAGCCCTCCTGCCCCCCCAGGATCCTATAAGTCTACCTTAAGTTATAAGAATTCCTTTGGAAACTTTCTTTATCTCTAAACCCTCCAAGATACTTGTTGGCAATCATCCCCCAAGCACATGGCTCACCAATATACATCTGAAGGGTCTCATGACTAAGGTTTTATTAGACAGTAATAAATGACACTTTCCCAACAATAGTTAGCCCCCTCAAGGTCCTGGAAACCTTAATACTATCCCTAACCCCCTCCCAACTTGAAAGTATATAATGGGCCACTCCTCATGACCCCATTGCAGCTCTTTCTGCCCACGGATCCTGTCCCCGTGCTTTAATAAAACCACCTTTTTGCAGCAAAGATGTCTCAAGAATTCTTTATTGGCGTCTATCATGGGCTGCAAGGTGGCTGGTGCATCCCAGATCACTGGTGTGGACATCAATAAAGATAAATTCACAAGGGCCAAGGAGATTGGAGTCTCTGAATGTATTAACCCCCAGGACTTCAGTAAACCCATCCAGGAAGGTACAATTCCTAACTCTCTAATCAAGGACAAGGCTGATACAGTCATAAATCTGTTTCCTGAACTCTCCTTCACATGAATAATTGCCAGCTCATTAAGGAACATTCTAGCATAACAAAAGTCATTTCTGCAAAAAAAAAAAAAAAAAATCTTCCCAATGGATAACACAAAAGCTGAATAATTTTACAGGAGAGAAATAATAAACTTTTGAGAAAAAGATCATTATAATTCATGCAAACACTTCTAGATGGTATGGATAAAAGGAGTAGTTGTCATTTCTTTCACTAAAAGTAGAATTAATTACCTTGGTGCCTAAATTAGACGAGAATATGTTAAGAAAGGAAAAAGAAAAGTCGAACTCATTTATGAAAATTGTTGCAAAATCCTAAAACAGTGCTAAACCAAATCAGTGTATAAAACTCATATGGGTAATCAAATTGAGTTTATTTCACAATTATAGTAATAGTTTTCCTTTGAAAGAAAAATCATTAAATATAATTTGTTATAAACAATAGTCTAAAGAAATAGAACAAGATTGCATCAAGGTGGAAAGCCCATTTGCTATGATTCAAAACCTTTTCATGATAAAAACAATCTTTAGCATACATATGAGAGGGCTTACATAAACATCATTCTTAATTTGGAGATATTAATAGTCTTTTAGAAATCCATGAAAGCAAACAGTCACTAATATCACTTCTTTTCAATTTCACTGTAGAGATTTTGCAGCACATTTAAGACCACCATAGGAAATTAAAGAGATAAGGACTTAAGCATTTTTTTTTTCTGATGATATGTTCATCTACATTATGGGGAGGAAGACATTTCTCTGACATATAGTCCTTTTAGGTGAACTTAGAATCAAATTGATTTGAGACAGACTAACAGGAGAAAATCAAATTTAATAGGCATATGTATGGGGAATCCACAGACACAAAATTCTAGAGACAATGAGGCAACATGAAACTTACATGAGTAAAGGAGAGGGGAAGGGCCTGAGATACAAAAGGGAGAAAGCTCATTAGCAAGAAAGTAAAAGGAGATGTCTGAAAAAACAAAGTTACCCTATTATGCAGATAAGTTCCTTAGGTAAAGGGGAGTCTGTTAATAGCTCTCTTCTTGGTACAGATTACATGGGAACCAGCACATTTTCTGCATATACAGTTGTGCCTGATATCTCTGTTGCTAAAATTGATCCACAATGGAATATTACTCAGCCATCAAAAAGAGAAGTCTTACCATTTGCAATGACATGGATGGATCTCGAGGGTTTATGCTAAGCGAAATAAGTCA